TAAAGAGGAAAACTCGATCAAAAGGTTTGTTCTTTGTGTATTCCCACGGACGACACCAATTGTATGAGCACAAAATAATCTTCTCGTATAATCCTGTTGATCAAGTTTGCACTTCTCCAAACGTCGTCGTTTTACCTCCTGAAGACACAAACATAAGCTAGCCGCCGAGTGTGTGCCGGATACCTCTCTGATGCCTAAGTCAGCAAATAGACAATAGACTAAAAGCTCTATATTTTTTAGAGTAGAAATTGTGATACCTGTACATAGGTCCTACTATGAGCTTTTATAGATTATGTCTGGCACAATCCTAATAAGATTCCAACTCTCCTTATAAGAGTCCTCCTAGGAATCACACTTCCAGTGAAGAGTGTCTATCCTAATAACGCTTTACTTACTACCAACCAAGTAAGATGGTTTTCTCCTTTATCTAAGCTGGTGCAACCTAACCGAGCTAGATTATTTCAATCATGCTCTCACCTAAGCAATGATGTAGATGGCAGTCGACCAAGCTACACCTAGCTCGACCTTCTTTCTTACAAACACCTCGGCCAACCACCAGGCCTAGTTTTTAGGTAGATCAGTCAAACCCCTCTGCCCAATTTGGTACCCAAACTACATGGGACCGAGCTACTCGAAGCCCATACCCCGACCCTTAGTCCGGCCCAAAACAGAGATTAAAGGATCGTAGCTCGGCCCAATTTTTCTTTATAAATTACCCTCTCACTCACTTATCTAATCCAAATTTAATTCACTTTTTCAATTTTGGATTACCAATCTTAATATGAGTCTGGGCTAAACATTGTTAATCAGATCCGAATTTTATCAACTTATCGATCATATATTTGTTATTTAGATTAAATCTGATTTATTGGCAGGCCTTATTCTAACATTAATTCCTCTATTTTTAGCAAAATTTAAGATTCACAAACGCAACCAAAGTCATAGTCATGTAATACTTATAGTCCTGATGACCTCTCTGTTGCTACCTTGCTAATTTGTAGCAATCTAATCCAAGTCCATCAGATCCGAATTTTGTTGCAATGTTGTCTTTCCGTCATGCACAGTTGACATTTTGAACAAAAAAAATATGATTTGCAAAACTATAAGTACCAAAGTAAAATTCAAAAAAATACAAGGACCATTGACATAATTCATTTATTACACCAGAGGACCTTGTAGTTTCTTTTGAATTTCAATTTGGTCTTTCTAGTCTTGCACGTACCCTTTTTCTAGTAAAAATTTTAACGATAAATAATGGAGATATTACATTATAACAAAACTAAAAGTATAGTATTTAAATTGTTCAAATTGAACTGCGCGAACTAAAGTGAAACTTCACTCAAACTATAAAGACCGACGATATAACTTGCCATAGAATTAATATTGTAGTTTTGGATCACTTAATAATTTTTTAGAATATAAGAGGCTTTAGCAACAGATAAAAAGTCTAAGAAAAAATGAGTAATTATTTAATATCATTAGTGACAATGGCAGTGGCAGTGACAGTGACATAATCTAAATCATTGAATTATATGAGTCAATATAAAACTCATACAAATCAATGATTTGAAAGAATTTCTGATAAATATTTGAGAGTTGTGCACCCCCAATCCATTCATGATGACATAGAATGAACTAAAGGGGGTTACCTTTTTTTTATTTATTTATTTTTTTTTTCATCTCATTAAAAGTTAAAAAGACAGTGATGTATTAAGAGATGCCACATCACTTTTTGTGATAATACAATGTTATGGCATTGAATATTTTTTTTTTGGAAAAAAAGGTGTTGCTGAGTGAGAATGCAACTCAAAGTAGCATATTGATGACATATTCAATTCCCTCAACAACCAATGTGTGCGTGGACAAGAATAGATGGCTACTTTTTAATGAGAAACTTGACTCCTTTGGTTTTCAATCCCCTCAACAACCAATGTTATGTTTTTCTTGGTTATGTTGACTCCGTAATCATCTAGTGGGTGGAATGGAAAACACGAGTGACTTTTGTACGTAGATAGAGTATATTCATTTGGTATTTTTTTACTATTATAATTGATAAAAAGTAATAAAATATGAGCTATATTATTGAATATTTGAATAATATTAGAAGACATATATATTAATAAAAGAATAATACTACTTAATACCCTATTGATATATAAAAATATTCCCGGTCTCTAGTATTGGAGTCAAAGTGAATCTTCAACTTTGAATATGGTAAAGCTTAAACCGCCGATGGCGAATTAATAGTTGAGTGAACAGTGTTTGGCTTTGGTTTTTTGACATGTCATTTTATTCTTAAATTATTCCTTAAAAGTTTATTAGATTTATATTTTTATGAGATATTTATATACAAGTTTTAATTTATGAATTTATATTACATTAATCTAACTAAGATTTTTTTTAACCTTAAATTCTCATTAAATTTTTAATAATCGGAATTGACTTTCAAACCATTATTGTTCATCATTTATAATTATCTATAAAGAAACGTAATGATTTGATATTTATTTTGATTTTCAAAATTTTAAAATATCAACTTTCATAAAATAAAAATAAAAAACTATTATTCTTTTTGAAAAATTTGAAAAAACTAAATTATTTTTTTGTGCAAAATTAAAATTTTTGTGTCTATAATGGAACATGATGATGAAACATTGAAATGCAAAACTGCAAAAAAAAAACTTTAAAAATGAAAAAAATGATAAGGTTCTTAATTTTAAAACTAAAAAAAAACTAATAATGTTTTTGATTTTATTGGATAGTTGAATCAAACCAATAAATAAAAAGACAAAAGCGTTTAATCTCATGCTCTGTTTTTTTTTTTTAATCAGTTAATGAAACAATTATCTAGAACATTACTATGTAAAATTAATAATATTTTTAGTTTTAAAAATTAAAAAAAAAAACTAATCATATTCTCAATTTTACTAAATAGAACTTATTCGCTCAAAAAATCTTAAATAAAACATGAACTACCATAACATTTAAAAATAAAACTTTTAGACAATTAACTCTATTTTTAATTATATCAATTTACACTAAAATTATTTTAATGTGGATCAATGTCTCGTCCTACTAATCTCACTTGGCTCACAAACCCTTCTTTGGAGGGAAAATAAATGAAAATTTTTTATATTACTCCCAAACTATCACTTGAAATTCAATTAGACTGTTAAATATATTAGCAAAAATTAAATTTAAATATCTAATAAATAAAATTTCACCTAAAAAAGAGAAATAAATAAATTTTAAATACTAGACTATACCAAAAAAAATTAAAAATATAAAAACCTCATTTAAAATTGATGATTTAGGCCTCAAATCACTGGCCTTAGAGAAACTAATCGAAATCAAAATTCCTAATATTTTCTCTTTCTCACCAATGTAGTTAGCTCATTGCCCAAATTAATTTCAATAAATAACTTACATTTGGAATAATCAATTTATACGTACGACCAAGCCATTTAACAGTCTATAAAAATGAAGCTACTTTTAATTTCCTGTGCAAAATTACATCTTCCAACATAATCATATCCAAAGGTCTATCAAATATTTGTAGAGATTACCTGGAGATTATCCAAATCCTATGAAGCTTTATACAAGAGCATAAATTTTTATGCTGTGTTTGGACCATGAATATCAAAAAGGTCATGATGTCCGTAATGGCTCTGTTTGGTAGAATTTTTCTTAAGTTAAAAATTGATAATTAGAAAGCGAAAGTTAAAAACACTCATTCCTCAGCTTTCAAATAATAAGTTTTTTTTCAACTTATTTAAACTATTTCTGCGTAATAAGTTATCAGCAGAAACTGTACAAAACAATTTAATACAAACTCTTAAATTAAAATAAACTATACTCACCTCCTAAAAGTTATACCAAACTGTAGGGGTGGGCAACGGTTTATCCAAACCGCTCAAACCGCCCAATCCGCCCAACCCGCATATAAATGGGCGGTTTCGCAAACATAATGCGGGCGGATGCGGTTTGAAATATGACAAATTTGCAGATTGTGGGCGTGTCTTAACTAGAGTATATCTACCCCCACGTGAGAGTAAAGCCTTGCGTCACCCTTTCAACCTCTTGCCAATCTTTTCCACAACTGGATTCCAAAAAGATTCACTCCTAGGAGTATCCCTCAGTGGAAGTCCCAGGTACTTGAACGGAAGTACCTCAATACCACATCCTAGAAGCGAAGCCATTTGTTGAAGCTTATTAGTTGCAAATTGATGCCCACCACACTACTTTTTGCCAAATTAGCCCTGAGATGACCCCAAAAATTCTCAAAACCAAAAAAAGATCAACTATCTGGCTCTCATCCCTGGTGGAAAAAAAGACGGTATCCTTTATTGTAGCATGACTCACCTTATGCTATTAATTGTCTTTGTAGTTATCCCACTTGAAGATAAATTCGTTGAAATGCTTACATCTTGTAATATGTTTAACTCAGAAATAGAAAAGCTTACACCTTATATGTGTCTGTTAATAGTTGTTGGGCATTGCTCTAGGGATCATCCTCATCTGTGTATGAGCACAGATGAAAAGGCATTCACACCTGTATTTAATGTGCATCTCTTTCGTGCCTAAGCAACTGTTTTAAACACAAACACACAGACATATTTTATATGTATCTTTTTGTTGCTGTAGAAAGTAGTACTTAACTACCATGACCACTCATTTCTACTCCATTTTCCCAAAATTTGGTCCCTGAGCATGCTGCTGACTACTTGTCGTTGGATGTTTCTTATGGCTAATATATTAAAAAAGTAGATATTTTTTTATCTACTGGGTGTAGTTTTTATCCTTTTTCTCTGGTTGGGTCTATTCAAAGCAATGCTCGGTGAGATCCAAGGCCACTCCCTTAACCCATGTCCTCAGTTTTCCTCTTTGTTCTGTTTGAGACTGCAACATGTATCAAATCAGCCCTTGCTGGTGCATTAGTTGGTCTAAGTTGCACATGACCCAAACTTTGTTCTAGTATCTGTTTTATCACTCAAGTTGATCCAAATGCAATTGCTTATCCAGGTTCTACAGAAATGGGAGTTAAGCTTGGCAATGAAGATTTCAGTTATTCAATTGGGCAACATGTTACTGGATTTGTCTATAAATTGGATAGTGAATGGATCTGGTTAACAATGTCTCGACATGTGAAGGCTCAGCTCTACGTTCTTGACAGTTCATGTGAACCTACTGAACTTCAGGAATTCCAGAAGCGCTATACTGTGGGGAAAGCAATATCTGGTTATATTTTAAGTGCTAATAAGGAGAAAAAGCTGTTACGTTTTGTGCTGCGTCTAATTTATTCTGCTCCTGATAGAACACTTGGTTGTGAAACTACTAAGATAGATGACACAAGCAATCACTTGAATGGGAATGTAGCATACCATATTCACGAAGGTGATGTGGGCGGCAGGATTTCCAAAATTCTTCCTGGTGTGGGTGGAATGCTCATCAAAATAGATCCACACCGGTATGGAAAGGTCCATTTTACTGAATTGACAGACTTATGGGTTTCTGACCCATTGTCTGGATATCATTTAATAATTAATGACTTTATATTATACAAAAAATCAATCACTAACTATTATATATAAGATAAACAATGACAAAAGTAAAAGAATAAATAAAAGCCTAAATATATATATACATATTTTAACCAACCCAAATAGATAATGACCACACTCATTATTATTATTATTTTCAAACAATATATAGATAGACACACACAAACAAAATGGTTGAGTGATAGCAGCTGAATAGAATAACATAGGTCTTACAACTTCAACGAATCAATAACATGTTCTTCATCTTCCCTCTTCTCTCTTTCTATCTCTTGCTTCTCCATTTTCTCTCTTTATCTTCTCTCTTCTCTCTATCCCTCTTCCCCCATTTTCAGCTTTTTTTTGTGTGTTTTTTGGAAAGAAACAGTTTGGAACCGTTACGTAACAGTGCGTAACAGGCCGTTACGGCTGTTACGGCACCATTAAGACCGCTACGGCTGACACACCTGTGAATCTCAATCATACTGCAAAAGCGGCCGTAACGGGTGGCGGTAACATCTGGCCCATCAACTTCTGTCACTATAATAATAAGCCAGTTTGTACAATCATCACATTTGTTTGATTTTACCAAACTTTGAATATAGGATGTGTTTTATGGGTAGGTGTGCCCCAACTCTTTTTAGGTTATGTAACACATGGTATTCTGCTCTGGCAGCGGACTGCATATTAGTTTGGGTTTATAATTGCATTCTTCTTCTGCCTAGGTTGGATTATGCCATATTTCCGAGCTTTCTGATGATCATGTTAACAATATTGAAACTAAATACAGAGCAAGGGAGAGAGTTACATCAAAGGTTTTGAAGGTAAACAATTGCATGCCAAGCTTTGCAAGCAGTGTGGTTGTTGTGTTATGATTGCTGAATGGTGATTATTGTAACCTCTTTCTAGACTCTAGAGAACATGTATATTGATTCAAATGAATAATTTCTCTAAATATTATCTAAAATAGGAACAGCTGCTATGGAACTTCTGCCAGTTTGAGTAGCTCTCTGTGGCTACAGAAGCTGTATTTTTTATTTTCTTCTGTTTTTCAAACTATTATCAGGTGGATGAGGATAGACAACGAGTTTCTCTTAGGATGAAGAAATCTTATTTTATGAGCAATTATGACATTCAAGCTCCTTCAAAGCAGAAGTATGATGATGCCATTGAGGAAAAAGATCACATGGTGGGTACTAGGTTAACAATGTTGCCAGATAGAGGCTCATTCGGGATGTAGAATTTGGACTTTGAATGTGAAAATGGGCAGCATCTTCTTCTTGCTGAAGTGGAAGCGAGGGCTTCTATTCTTCCACTTGAGGTCCCTCTCGATGATATAGAGAAATCAGACATGGTTAATGCTGCTTTTCAAAATATAGAGCACGTTGATGATGCTGATGCTGTAGATCAAAAGAATAAAAGCCAGGCAAAGAAGAAAGCCAATGAAGAGAGGTAATTTTTTTATTCACATATTTTCATGATTTTCTTATAAAAGGCTGTCTGTCTCAGTTTTCCTGTTAAGAATGGAAATTGTTCTGCTCAGGGAACGAGAAATTAGGGCTGCTGAAGAAAGGCTATTAGAGAAAGATATTCCAAGAAGTGCTGATGAATTTGAGAAAGTGGTTAGAATTTCCCCAAATAGCAGCTTTGTCTGGATAAAGTACATGGCATTTATGCTTTCTTTGGCTGATGTTGAGAAAGCCCGCTCAATTGCTGAGAGGTAATCATTTAGCTGTATTTTTTTTTCTTTTTTAATTTTGGAATGTTTACGAAGATATCCCATTGACCAAGAGTTCATGCACCTTACTAGGAGGTTAGAAGTTTGAATTTGTCCACCTACGTGTCCCTTGTATTTGTTTGAGGTCTTTCTTATGTTGGTTGAGATTGTTGTTGTTGGCTTATTATGGTGGAGTGTCATGACATTGAAGTTTCATGGGTGTTGAATGATCTTTTTTTGTGAGAAATGCCTCTTATGCTATCTCCAAAGCCATTTGTGATGATTTGGTACCCGGAGCCGGCTTTTTGGAGGAAGGATGAGTTTATTTTGGGACCATGTGAGAAGCATGATTTTGATGTAATCTTGCTTCCAAAACGGCATGCTACATGAGTGGCCTATTCACACCTCAACATGGCTTCGACTGATGTGCATAAATGATAACTTGTTTTGATGGAAGGATATTTGCTAGGATGATCTTGAATAAGGACTTGTAACTACTTAGTGTTGTTCGCTGTTGCATGTTCATTATGCTTCCCTGAATCATTGTTTTGAGTCATTTTGTTGATGGTGTTGTCTTGAGTCATTTTATTGTAGTCCCAACTTGAGGACAAGTTGTTTTCTTTTGTTTGTATATGGGTCAATTTGGTAATTTTGTATCAAAAGTCAAGTGTTTAAAAAAAAAAAAATTATGAATGTATCCCCGCTGTACCCGTATCGTACTTTTTCAAATTTTGACATATCGCCATATCCACATCCCCATATCACCATATTCGTATCCGTGCTTCCTAGGCTATCATTGATGACTTAAAAAAGTATATTTGCTGAAATTTTTATTTAAGAATGGTTTTTTGGCTTTAGCTAAGGTCTTGTGATATTCAATGATGAAGGGGAACAAGTTGAAGCTATTGACCTTGAAAACTCTTAGTTTTATAAGAATCTTTCTTCTTTATCAAGTTGTCTTTTGCTTTAGATTTTATTTTTATGCATACTGTATTACTAAAAATTGTTAAAATAATATTTTTTACGAACGTATCCCCGCCGTACCCGTATCCTAGTTTTTCAAATTTTGTTGTATCGCCGTATCCGTATCGTATCGTATCGTATCCGTATCCTGTATCTGTATCCGTGCTTCCTAGATGGGATCCAATCCACTGCCTGCTTTTATCAATGTTATAATAAGCATTTCTCTAGTAGTATGAAGAAAGAAAATATTCAAATTGAGCTGAGATAATTGAGACAAAGGCTTGTTTAATTTGAGTTGAAAAGTAAATGCTAAACCTTAAATTTTCAAAATAATGAGACTGATTTGTTGAGTGTATAGCCACATGGAACATATGAGTGCATGGTCTTGTGTGTAAGCTTTTGTTTGTCAAGAAAAAGCGAGAATATCTGAACAGGATGTGAAAGTGGATTAGTGATCTTGGACTTGAAGCAGAGAATTGACGGGCTTGTTTGGTTTGTATTTGAGAAACATGTTTTGAGATAAAAAGTACGAAAATTTGTTTGGTTTGGTTTTTTTTCAAAAGATGTTTTGAAAAATTATTTTGAGAGAGTTTTGGAAAAAGTGATTGATTTGATGTGTATGAGAGAGAGATTTGTTTGGAAAACTTGTAAACCAAACAAGTTTTGGAAAAAATTTTTGAGAAAATTTGTTTGGTTTGATTACTTTTGAAAACTTATTTGTAGAGAATTTTTCCCAAAATTTTTTGAGAAACACAAACCAAACAAGGCCGACATTATTGTGGGTCCTGAATTGCATTTCAGCTTTCTGGTCACGTGATGTCTTATTGTATTGATTTGTTCTTTTTTTTTTCTTTGTTTCTTCCTTCTTTGGTTTCATTTTTCTCTACATTCAAATTTTTTGGTTTTACCTTATATTCCCTTCATCAAATATGCTGTGGTTGAACCAACGAGCCATTTTTTGTGTCAGCAGTAGCCAGTTGCTTCAAAAAAATAAAATAAATGCACATCCACAAATTGGCTTTTATGTTCATAATGTGTGCTAGTTTGCTTCTCACTCTATGTCATTGTTGTGTTCTTTAGGGCTTTGAAGACAATAAACATCCGAGAAGAATCTGAGAAGTTGAATGTATGGGTGGCTTATTTTAATTTAGAGAATGAATATGGATATCCTCCAGAGGTAAAATATATATACTATACATGTATATCCTTTTGCCTTGTTTCCAAAAAACTCTCACCATCAGTATCATTTCAATAGCTCTAGGAGTTTTCTTACTTTAGTTTTTCTCTTCAGGACGCCGCTTCAAAAATATTTGGAAGAGCATTGCAGTATTGTGATCCCAAAAAGGTGCATCTGGCACTGTTGGGAATGCATGAAAGGATTGAGCAACACAAGTTGGCTGACTTGGTGATGTGGATGTGATTCGTGCATTATTTGAGAGGGCAACAAGTTTGAGCCTGCCACCTAAAAGGATGAAGGTGTGTGTTAAGTTTGTTTTTGTTTTGTTTTGTTTTTTATTTTCGTGCTCATGCTGAAGATTTAGTTTTTGAGACTTTCCTTGTCACATGAGTGAGTGAATAAGTGTGGTTTGTTGGAAATGCAGTTCTTATTCAAAAAGTATGAAAGTCTGTAGGTGATGAAGAAAGGATTGAATCTGTTAAGAGGAAGGCGATGGAATATGTTGAGAGGTAGTCTTGCTTGATGAGGATGAAGATGAAGATGAAGATGAGGATGAGGTTGAGGTTGTTTCGCATTTCAACGGGAATCATCCATTGGGTACAGTCCAAAGTATTATGACATCCGCTCGTTCACTCACCCACTCAATATTTGCAATAGGAGGATGAGTAGCAGCAGCACGACAGTTAGAAATAGATGGCATAAATAACTTATAACCATCCTCCTGTTTGTCTCATGATTGTGTATGCTTTTTGTTTAATTAATTATTCACTGAACGTCTTTGTTCTCTCTCTCTCTACATTAAGGTTTCTTTTATTTTTTATTTTTGTTTCGGTGTCCTGAACAACACTTCATATATATATATATATACACACTAGTGGGTGAGTGTCACCCAATAAATGTCATGTTAAATCTATAAAATATACATTTTGATTTTGAATTAAAAATATAGTGTCTATTGCTTTAGTGGTAGAAGTATTGTTTATTAAACCAATGATTTTAGGTTCAAGTGCCTTTTATCACCTTAATATTTAATTTTATATTTCTCTAAGAAATATGGGACACGTGGCATAAAAAGAAGGTTTGGACATCAAGTAATTTGTTCACTTTATGGGGGTGTTTGGCAAGTTGAATTTTAGCCTTTTTTTTGGGTTAAAATTTACAAAAGGACAAAATATGCTAAAATAATTAATAAGATAAAATGTTAAAATTTATAATCATTTCATTTTTTCTATTACAAACATCACATTCAACTACAAAAAAAATCTATCTTCTTAAACATAGATTTTTAGCTTACTAAAATAGCTAAAAATTAAAATATCTTACTAAAATAGCAACTTTCCAAACACCCACTATATATAGTTGAATAAAAATAACACGGGTAACCATATTACTTGATGTGAAAACGATCTGGATCGGACACTTGAATTACAAGCCTCATTTGGAAAACCCTTTGTCAATTAAGACCCAACATTGATTCAGTGCTCTAAAATGGTAGTACTAATGTCAGCTCTAATGAGCTGGCAGTGCAAGAAGAAAAAAATAAAAGTAGAAATAAAAAACAAAGGCCAAATTATCATACCAGTGATGGAGTCCACATGGTGTCATATCATTAGTAGTGTATTAGTGGTATTGAATTAGTGGTCTGAAACATTTTTCATTAAGAAGTTATTAGAGTTTCTTAATATTATATCCACACTCCAAATCCTTAGATTTTACAATGGTGACATAGGAGGGAGAACAAAGAGAAATATTTTGTAGAGATTTTTGTTTTGTTTTTTTTTTTTTTTTGGGTGAGTAAGTCATAAAATAAAACAGAAGAAAATACAGGAATACAAGGGGCATGCCCCAGGATCTAGCCAACTATACAAACAAATAATGACAAGCAAAACAAAAAAGAAGTGGAACAAAGAACTATAAACTATTAACAAAAGCATCGGCCCAACAGATAAAGAACAAATGAGCTGAGAACAAACTCGAACTCGAAAAGCACAAACAAATAAAGACAAAACTAGAACTGAAAATCCCCCTAGGATAAATGCACCATAGCAGCAAAGCAGCAACAGCCCAGTGAACCCCAAAACCAAAACTAGAAGAGAAAGTTTCTACATAGCACCGACCAACAGCAGAACCAGCGTGATCCACTCTAACAACCATAAAAAACCAAAACCTGTTCAGCAGCCATATACAGCACATAGGGGTGATGAACAGGGGAGAACCAACTTTGTAGCAAAGGCAAGAAGAAACCTAGCAAAGTCAACATGTCCAAAATGCCAAACGGTTCCAACAAAAGAGAAAGAAAAGAGAAAAGAAAAAAAGAGCTTTACCCTACATAGCCCGTAGGGATAGGACAACTACCATAATAAAAGAGCTATACCATTCAAAACTGTGTAAATCAAAACATAAACAAAAGAGCCAACTATCATAATAAGAACAACGAATTTCCAACTAGATTCCACTAGGTTTGGCGCACCTATGCAGCCTCAACCATGAGAGTCTTCAAACCGGATACTGCAAACTACACAGCAAACACTACCTCCATCGATTAATAAAACCTAACAACCAAAGCAAGTGACCTTGATTACCCTGATCCAATTCAGATTAGTAAACAGCAATGAAGCTATATATAATCACGAATAAGAATATGAAAATAAAGAAAACCCGCAACAATTCTCACTTATGTAAATTCCTTGGTCACTCAACCCACAAATAAAGGACACTCAACAATTAACAGCAAGTTAGAGAAGAAACCCTAATTAACCAACAAATTATACACTCAATCACTCAACCCTCAACAATGGATATCCCTAAAAATTGTACCAGCATATGTACCTGCAGCAGTATTAGAAAATATTATAGGGCTATTTCACTCAACCCACACCTTACAACACTCCTCATAGGATTTATAAACTCACTGCACTCAACCCTCCTATTGCTATACTCTTTACTCCACTGGAATGGCCTGCAAATCTGCAACAACACACATTAGAACCAAACAAATATAATGATTAGATTTAAAAACCTCACTATATGGCTCACATCACTAGGCCCTCTTATACTGGCTCACCAACAACTCAACCCACAACACAACACTCATTTAAGGATAGAGGCAGGAAGCCTCCACTCTTGGAGGAACCATTCCTCAGTTTGAGTTCTTTTGATGTTGGAGATAGCCAAAAGTCTGTATCTGACAAGAGACACAATGCCTTTGACCACCACTTCTTCAGGTTTCTTTTCATGGGAAAATATTCTATTATTTCTTTCTAGCCACATATGGTAAACTGAGCTACAAAGCTCAATCGTCTAATGATGGTAGCTAAGGATTTTCCTTTACAGTCAGCAGCCACTACCTGAGGTAGGTCACTCCATGGAATATTCTGCCAATTTACTTGGCATTTGTCTTAGATAGCAGTCCACACTCGCAAGGCAAATGGACATTGAAAGAATAGATGTTGGTGATCTTCCCCATTATGGGTACAAAATTGACAATTGGAGACCCCATTAATGCCAAAGGTGGCAAGTCTGTCCCCAGTATTCAGTCTCCCTAAGATAGCCATCCAAACAACAAAGCTAGCTTTAGGGATGTTGTAAGGACCCCACAAAAGATCAGCCCAAGATACCTTAGGCCACTTCTTTCTCCAAAGATTCCAAACAGACCCAATAGTAAACAACCCACTCTTATTTGGCAGCCAAATTACCTCATCCCTACTACCAATGGTTGGCACCATGATAGGAGGAGAGTGCCCCACAATTTCCTGCACTTCCCAAGAGGAAGCATTAGGCCAATGCCAACCAGTAACAGAAATCACAAAGTCAACCTTGGATTGGCTCAGGAGACCAGTATCATACACAAATCTAGCACCATATTTCTCTCACAGGGAACCAAAAGGATGCCAATTATCATGCCAAAGGAAAACCTTACTACCAGGACCAACCACCCATTTAACAAGGGGATAGATCCTTTCTCTCAATGATAGTAACTTCCTCCAAACCCAGGAAGGATTACTTGGGGTTTTGATACCCCAAAAGCAGTTTTCTTTTAAGAGGTAGGATTTAACCCATTGGCACCACGCAGACTGCTCTCCACTAGAGATTAAGAACCAAACATGTTTAGACACAACATCCTTATTCCACACCTCCATATTTTTAAAACCAAGGCCCCATTCATTAACAGGAGCACTAATTTTATCCCAAGCCACTTTAGCCGCAGTTTGTTTAAGATCCAAACCAATCCAAAGAAAAGCTCTACATAATGATTCAATCTCTTTAATCACTTTTTTTGGAAGGATAAAAAGAGAGGACCAGTAAACTTGCATAGAGAATAAGATTGTCTTGATAAGCTGGGCCCTCCCAGCATAAGACAAGACCTTGTTGGTCCAAGATTTCAACATTTTACTAATTCTAGTGTCTAAACTCCTACAGTATGATTAGATTTAAAAACCTCACTATATGGCTCACATCACTAGGCCCTCTTATACTGGCTCACCAACAACTCAACCCACAACACAACACTCATTTAAGGATAGAGGCAGGAAGCCTCCACTCTTGGAGGAACCATTCCTCAGTTTGAGTTCTTTTGATGTTGGAGATAGCCAAAAGTCTGTATCTGACAAGAGACACAATGCCTTTGACCACCACTTCTTCAGGTTTCTTTTCATGGGAAAATATTCTATTATTTCTTTCTAGCCACATATGGTAAACTGAGCTACAAAGCTCAATCGTCTAATGATGGTAGCTAAGGATTTTCCTTTACAGTCAGCAGCCACTACCTGAGGTAGGTCACTCCATGGAATATTCTGCCAATTTACTTGGCATTTGTCTTGGATAGCAGTCCACACTCGCAAGGCAAATGGACATTGAAAGAATAGATGTTGGTGATCTTCTCCATTATGGGTACAAAATTGACAATTGGAGACCCCATTAATGCCAAAGGTGGCAAGTCTGTCCCCAGTATTCAGTCTCCCTAAGATAGCCATCCAAACAACAAAGCTAGCTTTAGGGATGTTGTAAGGACCCCACAAAAGATCAGCCCAAGATACCTTAGGCCACTTCTTTCTCCAAAGATTCCAAACAGACCCAATAGTAAACAACCCACTCTTATTTGGCAGCCAAATTACCTCATCCCTACTACCAATGGTTGGCACCATGATAGGAGGAGAGTGCCCCACAATTTCCTGCACTTCCCAAGAGGAAGCATTAGGCCAACCTTGGATTGGCTCGGGAGACCAGTATCATACACAAATCTAGCACCATATTTCTCTCACAGGGAACCAAAAGGATGCCAATTATCATGCCAAAGGAAAACCTTGCTACCAGGATCAACCACCCATTTAACAAGGGGATAGATCCTTTCTCCCAATGATAGTAACTTCCTCCAAACCCAGGAAGGATTACTTGGGGTTTTGATACCCCAAAAGCAGTTTTCTTTTAAGAGGTAGGATTTAACCCATTGGCACCACGCAAACTGCTCTCCACTAGAGATTAAGAACCAAACATGTTTAGACACAGCAGCCTTATTCCACACCTCCATATTTTTAAAACCAAGGCCCCCTTCATTAACAGGAGCACTAATTTTATCCCAAGCCACTTTAGCCCCAGTTTGTTTAAGATCCAAACCAATCCAAAGAAAAGCTCTACATAATGATTCAATCTCTTTAATCACTTTTTTTGGAAGGATAAAAAGAGAGGACCAGTAAACTTGCATAGAGAATAAGATTGTCTTGATAAGCTGGGCCCTTCCAGCATAAGACAAGACCTTGTTGGTCCAAGATTTCAACTTTTTAGTAATTCTAGTGTCTAAACTCCTACAGTCACTAGCTCACAATCTAGTGGTGATCAAAGGAACTCCCAAATACCTTACAGGCAACTCTCCCTCAATGAATTGGGTAAGATCCAAAATATCCTTCCTCAGGGTGTGGTTACAACCTGAGAAGAAGATATGGCTCTT